ATTGGAACGAAGGACACTAGCTTCTTTCTAGTAACCCACCTGTTTAAAAATGCCAAGGAGTCATACTATTTACCAAAGTTATTCTTTAGAGCAAATGAAGATATACAAGGATATATGTAGCTTCTCTGTGAGTAGCTTTTCACCAGTCAGTGGAAAAATAAGAAAAATAATGATAGTACTGAGTATGGGAATTATCTATCTATGTGGAAGGCTACGAGTAGTCTTTTCCAATGGGGAGAAGTCCTGCTATCTGAGATTACAGCCCTACTACTTGAAAAGAGCAAAAGATTCTTTGCTCTATGAAATATTAAAAATGGTAAATAGGTGTTATTAATACTCATACATGACAACATTTTAAAAAAGCTGAGTAGCCCTACTATAATTTGAAGATATTTTTTGTTGTCATATTTGTTTTGTTTTAATTTACTCTTCTTCAAATGGATACTCACTGGTATTAATCCTGGTAGTTCTCCCAACAACCTCCCTCCCCCTTTTTTTCTATTGCATACAAGAGCCAGAGTTAGAAGAAATTTATCTACACTAAACCACCAAGATAAAAGGGATGATTTCCTCTTACCTTGCTAGCTGCCACACCAGCTTGTTTGTTTACTTTGTATTCTGGAGTTTCTGTTTGCATGAAGTAGATCTGATCTTTCATGTTCTCAAACTCTTCCTGGTATTTTCTCTGGAAGACAGTAAACATATTGGAGAATTGCTGTGGAAAAAACTGCAATGGTTGACATGGGAGATGCTATAGTTTAGATGATGGTGAGTTCTCTAAGAGTTCATTTGTTGTAATTAGGGCTCTAATGTAATGGAATTGGGAGGAAGACCCGACTTCAATATGGATGGGCACCTTGCCAGAAAAGATTGACATCTGAGTCAGTGGACTGGGAGAAGGTCCACTTTTAAGGAAGGCACCATCCAATTGGTTGGGAGTATGGGAAGCACAAACACAGGAAGTAGAAAAGTCTGATTCCTCTTCCTCTTCCCTTCTTTTCCCCTTTCTGCACATGCTCGCCTTCCTGTTTCTTTTGGCCATATTTGACAGAGTATTGGATGACGGTCAGATGCAGTATCCATACCCTTGGACTTTCTGGCCTCCAAAATTATGAGCCAGATAAACTCCTTTCATTCTAAATCTCTTATTGTCAGTTATTTCTGCTTAGCAACATAATAATAAGCCAACACAGGAAGACACAGGTCATTTGGAGAATCTCCTGGTTTAGGTCATCAGATTACAATTAGGGGATGTGGATGCCATTGAAAAAGTGATCGGCAACTTAGCAGAGATTTGGAGCAATTAACATAAACTGAAAGAATAATGTGAAAGGCTTTTCTTGACAAGAGTTCTTGAATGCCAGAAGCAAAGAACAGAAAAAAATAATAATAATTAGGCTTATGTTTTCTAGTGAGGAGAAGCTAATCAACTCCATAAATGTACAGTTTGGTTCCCTAGGCAAAGAAGAAGTTAAATAGATCCCTTTAACATGTATTCAATGTACTTTGAAGTTCGTAAAAGGGTCTAGCCAAGCTGTTTCTATGAAAATTGAAGTAGAAATAGTGTGCTATAATAACATTTCTCAGAAGAAAAGTGAGTTTGCAGAATTTCTTTGTTTTTAAACAATTGTTTATTTAATTTTACTTATTGTCATTATTATATTTTTAAATTGCTATAGGGCACATGCACTTACCATAGAGAGAGAGAGAGAGAGAGAGAGAGGGAAAGTGAGAAAGCAAGGTGCTAGATCTGGGACTTGTACTGCGGTTGAGCATGTGGGAGTCCAAGACCTTAACCACCATGCCACCTGTTGGCCCCAGAATTTATTCTCTCAACAGGAACGCTAAATCGGGTCTTTTCACTTAGAAGAGGGGCCTTGCGTGTTCTGGCATCACTTCAGATGAACCAGGTGATTAGAAGTCATAAAGAAATGAATGCCCCTCCTAGGAGATCCAGACACTCCTTACTTACAGTGCTGATGTTGTCAGCATTCATCCTGGCATTTGCAATTTCAAAGCAAGGTGTCTCGCTCCATTTTCCTTTTATTTTATTTTCATAGTCTTCTTTGTATTTTTGCTAGAGAAAAATAAAAGAATATAAGACAAGCAAAACCCAGGAATTGACAAATAAGAAAGCAAATTAAGTAACAATGATTATATTTTTAAAAAATATTTATATTGAGAAAGAAAGACAAGCACCCTTAACAGGGTCTCATGCCAAAACCCTACCACCAAGCTGCCAGGATCATGTGCACTCCTCCCATACTCTCCCCTCAGGTGTGTACAAGGGGTGCTGGGAACTGAACCTTATCCTTTCACATGGCTTCCAGCATTGCAGAGTATTGTGCGGCTGTGGCGGGGCCAGTAGTGATTATTTAAAAATACCCTGATCAGGCTATTGTTAGGTTCTAAATAGATGTCTTCAAGAAATTGTCCAGTGTAGTGTTGACTTACCCAACAAGAAAGCTGGGTAAGAGGGAAAAGAGAGAGAGAGCAGGAAAGAGGATACTAACTTTCCCTTCCCCTTGCTGAGTCTGGGGACCAAGTTTACTCAGAACTTGCCGATGTTTTCTGACATTTGAGGAAAGAATGAAAAATTCTTTTCTATACATATTTCAGAATTATCATAAAACCTATAAACTTGAGGTTTCCAAGTCATAAAATTAGTCATTAATTTCTAAACTTTAGCAAAACCCCCATGTAGCCAGACAACAATTGCAATAGAACTCAGCTTTCAGGCTAGTGAACAAGACTTCCTAGTTTAGAATGTTAAAAGTTTAATAAAAGTTGAGACCAGCCATTAGCGTAATGGCTGTGTCACCGGACTCCCACACAGTATACCACAGTTTGCGTCCCGAATCCGGTAATGGCTGTCTCATGCCGGGCGCATGTGTGTGAGTGCCCAAGATCCTGAGAGGAGAATGGAGGAGAAGGGATTGCCGTGTGACCATCTTCCCTGGGGGGTGATTTCTCGCTTTCTGTCTCTCTGTCTCTCTCTGCTCTCTGTCTGTCTGGTGAGCGCACGCACCCTATAGCAAAAACCTTTTTTAAAAAAAGTTTAATAAAAGTTGGAAAACAATTTAGAATTGAACTGCTATCCCATCTTACTCCCAAACATCACCCCACCTGAATCCCAGGCCATAAGCTCCTTAAAGAGACGTGTTACATCGTCTTCATTTTCACATCTTTCAGACTCTAACACAAAATGCAAGTGCAGACGTTACTTTGTAAAGTGGTGTTCAATTACACTGCTGAACTGAGACCATGATAGGTGGTTCTGAACTAACTTGACTGAATAGTTCTCAGAATAGAATTAACCTGGCCACCTCTAAACATGCCCATGAGCCAAAGCCTGGTTGGAACAATTTCTTCTCTACGACCCCTGGAAATGTGTTAACAAACATAACTATTAGATCTCTATATTTGTATGCCTACACCTCCACCATATATTTCTAGGAAAAAGAAAGCAATTTTCTGGTATACTTTCAACGGAATAAGTACTAAGGGTGAGTGATATGCAGAATCAATGAACTTGAATTAAAGGAAGCCCATCTTCTCATAAATGCCCTATTTCCTTTCTTCTCCAAAGGCTAATATGCCAACTCAGCTGCAGTGGTGGACAGGCAGTGCCACTGCACGGGAGTCTGGAAGCCACAAGCGAGGCGTCAGTTTGGTTCAACATGAACACGCTAGGCACAGTTACACCACCTATAATTCTTGTTAACTGAAAGGCTAGGGCAGGATTGTGACAAGTGAAACTGTCGGAAATACCCATCTTGGTCTCTCCTCTTTCCTTCTCTCTTCTTACCTAACTAGGGAGAGGGCAGAGAACATTAATATGCTATTAATAGTTGAGAGGTTTCTTTAGCTATGAATTTTAGAACTCTGGATCTGGATTCAGAAGCTCTGGGCCCAGGACTTTATTCATTGTATCATTGCCAGAGGTATGACTTAGCCTCTTTGTTTTTTCTTTTTCTTTTTTTTTTTTAAGATGTTTTTGCTATAGGGTGCATGCGCTTGCCAGACAGACAGAGACAGACAGAGAGACAGAAAGGGAGAAATCACCCCCCCAAGGGGGATGGCCACTTTGCAATCCCTTCTCCTCCATTCTCCTCTCAGGATCTTGGGCACACACACACACACGCCCGGTGTGAGTTTAAGCCACCGGGTCCGGGACTTGAACCACAGTCAACTACATGGGAGTCCAGCGACATAGCCATTATGCCAAATGCTGGTCCTGACTTAGCCTCTTTTACTCTCAATTTTCTCAACCACAGTACTGGCAATAACATTGACACAGAAGACTGCTGGGAAAATTAAATAAGATCATACGCTGAAGAGTGCTTTGTAAACTCGGTCATGCTAAAAAATGTAGGGTATATCATTTTAATAATTATACTATTGTTATTGCCATTGCAGAGTAAGAAACTATGGAGAAAAGAAAATTGCGTGTGCATGTGTGTGATAGTTCTTCAGTGGAAATCTTTGCTGAGATAAAATTTGTATTATATGGCCAATTAAACTTACATACCCTCTTCTTTTGAAGCTTTAAAGAGTTGAAGTCAATAAAATTGATTTGGGGATTTGCTGAGAATGCCTGTAGAGGTGTTTCTAATCTTTTGGGGGAATAAACCTCTTCAAGAATCTGAGAACACTGTAAAATGTCCAAGAACAGTTATAACTTCAGAGGTTTCCCTCCCCCACCCCCATAGGGCAAGTGTGTGTGCCAGAGAGAGACAGAGAAACAGGCTAAGTGAGAAATCACCCCACCCCCATTCCTGGGGGGTGAGAGACGGCCACACTGCAATCCCTTCTCCATTTTCCTCTCAGGATTTTGGTCATGTACACGCCTGCTCCCAGCGTGATTCTCAAGCTGCCAGGTCTGGGACTTGAACCATAGAGTCAACCATGTGGGATTCAGTGCCCCAACCTCTTTGCCACCTGCTGGCTCCAGAGATTCTTGATGTGTACATATCTCAAGTTAAGATTTTTTTAAAGAATTCTTTATTTATTTAATTCCACTTATTATTATTTTTTAAATTTGACTAGACAGAGACAGAGACAGAGATAAGGAAAGTAATGAAGTAAACCACCAGGTCCGGACTCAAACTGCAGTTGGCCATGTGGGAATCCAGCACCTTTAACCACCACACCACATGCTGACTCATCAAGTTAAGAAGTCTTAATCTACAAAATTTTTTATAGGGTTATTGCCTTTCTCCTATTGCTTTCTCCTATTTCTCCTCAAAGGAGGAAAACTCTGGGATTGGAAAGAGACAATTATACCTGATGCATCCCTACACCAAGATACAGAGAACTTTGTAAAATAAAGTTGAGAAGGCAGTGGATATTCTTAATGAGGCCCAAATGTTGGGCCATTAACAAAAAAATAGGTCTTGTGTATGGGTTTGTTAAGGAAAATTATGTAGAAGATTAATTTACACTGCGAGAGAAAGCTCTCTGAATTTTAAAAAGATATTAAAATGAGATGCAAGAGTGTAAGAACACCCAGCCCCATCATCCAGTCCTTCCTTCCTTCTTACATTTCATGAAGCGAAGCTTGCTCTTTCCTTCCCACCACTCCCAGCAGTTGAAATGGTTCAGGGTAGAGATGGATCTTTCACGATCCACTACTGAATCGTCCCAAATTAGTGAAGATTTTCACTGCACAGGAGGAGGCTGCAGCCTATTAACTGCTGAGGAAGTTATAGCCCTGTCCTTTATTTGCTGATAGGAGAAAAGTTGAAGGAACAAAGACCTACAGCTGGAAGAATGCAGGGAAGAGGGAGATTGGTGTCCACAAGGGTACCCCTCTGCCAACCAAGAGGTCCCTCTATGTGTCTGGAAGCAAGATTTGAGTTTTTGTGTGATACATGGTAATGGGTTTCCCATATTGAGGGTTAGATATTGGTCCAAATTTCTCCCCACCTCTAAGGGTTTTCCCCAACACTTCTTTTCAGTCCTTGTGTTTGGAGTTGACCAATGGAAATCTGGAGAAAAGAATTTATCTAAATTTCCTTGTTGAACAGAAGAAAGAACACTGGGTCATTTACGAGTCCTGGTATATCTTCAGTGGTTAGGAGTAGAACCACATGTCAATAGATACAGTGAGATTGCTTACCAAACCACAATCCCTCCTTTCCAAAATTCAACTGAGGGTACTTGCATTGGGCCAAAAATTAGACTTCCTAATATCTTGTTTAAACACATGATTTCCTTGTTAATTTTTTTCATTTCCACCTCTACTGAGGTTTTTGTGTGGTTATCAAATGGAAAGGAATACAAAGCCAGTTAGTTAATCATACCTTTCCTTTTCTGTGAATAACTAAACACTGAGACTCCTAATGGCTTCATTCATGGAGAAGTTATCCTTTCACACGGGAGGAAGGAGTCCCAGTTAAGAATGTTTTGCCCACAATAGGTCCATGGCTACTTTTCTGACTCAATATAATCTCATCAAGTTCATCAACAGGAGTCATCCAATTCCTGTGATGGAAGGGTCTCTATGGTTTCAGAAGATAGTCTCATCTTCATGCTGAGTAACCATATGCCACTCAAATATATTTTTTCTTTTTTCCTTTTTATTTTTTTTTACATTTTACATTGTATTGGGTTGTTGGAAAAGTCATGATGTATTTTTTTTCTATTTTTTTTTCCTATGCTTAAAATATGTTCTGACTTTTCTGACAACCCAATACATCTCACAGCATACAATCTACATTGTATACCAATATGGTACACCATACAATATTGATTGTATGCTGTAAGATTGTATACTGTAAGATGTATTACAGCATCCATATTGCATCCTGAATTTTATTTTTTAAACAACATTCTAGATTCTGGGTGTCAACTGGAACTTCCAATCAGAAGTTAGTTTGTTTGTTTTTTTGTATTGTGAATCTAGAAGGGAGCAGAAAGGCAAGAAAAGAAACTAAGGAACTTCCCAGTGCTGCATCAGGAACCCGATGTCAGCAAGTCATAGTGTGCAGTTTCCTCACCTGGAATGCCTGTGTATATGTTCAGCTCTATTTGCCTGTCCATCTACAGCAGAGCTGCAAAAAGCAGCTGAGCCGAGAGGAGGTACTGATGACGCAGGCCAAAGACAAAGCTGATAACTGATCCTGACAAATATGGTAAGGAAAGCTGGTAAAAAGAATGGAACATAAATTCAATCATTGCTGATATGTGATCATTAACTGTCTAAACAGAAAAATACAAAGTAAAGGGTGGCTCTAGGAATCAAAGTTGACAAGGAGACAAAAGGAATCTCAATACCTCAATACGTAAGGGTGGGTAGATAAAGAAGATTTTTCCTTACTTTAGAGAGAAAGAAGATATGAGAATGCTGAAATACTAGTCAAAGCAGCTTGAGAGTGGGGAAGACCTCATGAAGGATGGAGTCCCACAAACAGCAACACCCTTGGCAGCCTTGTGGCTCTCTAATCAGAAGGGTTGTTGGCAGATGGTCTGCTACCAATCACAAGCATTTCTTTGCACATGACTGTTATTTTGGATGTATGATAGCCGTTAACAACTTGGAAATCTTGGTAAAGCTGGTGAATAATGTCATTATGGGCAAATCTGGTGGCTCTCGTCTCTAACTATCCTTCCTCTGAGCTCATATTATTATCCCACAACGGCAAACTCAGCTCTGGCAAAGCTTTCAAAAGTATCCAGCATTGTCTCCTTATCCAAGTAGACTGATTCAGTCCAATAGACGTCAAAGGCAAGCCATTTTATATTAATTGCAATATTTTTAATACAAAAAATTACTGGTGGGAAATGAACTTTAATATATTTTATTTAACATAGTATATCCAAACTATCATACCAATATGTAATCAATAGAAAGATAATTAATGATCTATTTCACATTTTTCATAGTGAGTTTGCATACTCATATCCAGCTTATATTTCTTTCTTTCTTTCTTTCTTTCTTTTTTTTTTGAGAGGTTTTCACTATAGGGCGCGTGTGCTCGCCAGACAGAGAGAGAGAGACAGAGAGACAGAAAGCAAGAAATCACCCCCCAGGGGGGACGGTCACGCCGCAATCCCTTCTCCTCCAGCTTATATTTCTCACATAGAGGACTTTCAGTGTAATGGAATTAATGTTCACATAGCTCTAAAATTCTGATGTTGAAGCCCTAATTCCTTACAACATTCTTATGTTGTAGGGCTTTGGGGAATTAATTAGGTTTCAGCGAGGTCATGAAGGTCGAGTCCCAGGACGGAATTAGTGTCCTTATAAGAGGAAAAGAGACCAAGCTTGCTCTCTTGTCTCCATCACGTGAGGACATGAGGAGAAGGCAGCTGTCTGCAAGCCAGCAAGGAGGTCCTCCTCAGGAAATGAATCTTTGACCTTGGACTTCCAGCCCCCTGAGCTAAGAGAAATAACTCTTTTGCTTAACCCACTCACCTTATGATATTTTGTTACAGAAGCCCAGGCTGGTTAATATACTCATTTTAAACTAGTCATATTTCAAGTGCTCCATATCATTTATCTAGAGGCTATCATAGTGAAGAGTCTGGCTTTAAACTAACCAACGAGCTTATATTGGTAGAGAGAAAGATTTTAAAGAAGCTTAAGAGTAATTTTTAAAATTGCTTTCAAGTGCCCACCCTGCATATTCAAATCAGGTAAGAGGATATTTTCTTAGTAAGATATCCCTTCAATTACTCCTAAAGTGAACATTAAAAATAGATTCCTTTACTCTAAATGATAACTTGAAAACACCGTTTTTCTTTTTCTTCTACAAAGATAGATTGTACTTCTCCCCAATCTTATTTATAATATAAACACGTTCAGTAGACCATCTCTTTATGCAAAGTTGTAACCCTGGTTTCTACTTGGCCCCGGGAAAAATTATAGGTTGGTTGTATTACTAGTGAAATTCTACTATACTTACTAAATCCAAATAGCCCCTGGTTAGAAAGTTATGGAACCAGTAATATATCAGACACTAAAAGAAAATCACTGAAGAGACTTCGTCACCCATATCTTTTCTCCCTCTCCTCCCCTGAAGATGTACTTTCCCCAAAATACTCGAGATAGATAAAAATCTTGAGGTGCTATCAAAATTCAAAGAGGAGAGCAAACTGAAACTCAACCGTATCGAGGGCAAAAAAAGCAGTATTATCTTGAGAAAAAATAGCCTGATTTGGACCAATTTCAAATAGGAATTTAGTATTAGCTTGTTCATCAGTTGAACATCTGTCTCTGCATTCCTTGTAAGGACTGCATTCCTGAGAGCTAGTTTACAAGCCTAAATATAGGCCAATGAGGCTGCTTCCTAGGGCCTTAAAAGTTATGAGGTGCACTGCTCACTGCCATCAATGAGGCCATGTCTGAGAATCCACTCTACCATTCTTATTTTTCCAAGACCGAGAGCATAAAACTATACAAAATCTACACCAAATTAAGCCACATCCTTCTGGAAGGGTGTGGTAACTTGGTTGTACAGTTTGTATTACTCCTCTAAGTAAAAATGTCAAGTGACATTAGGACACAATTCTGTTTTTTCAAAACATGACTTTCTCATTTATTATCAACTTAACAAGTCAGGTACACACTTATTGACATAGTTTAGCACATTCATGAACATATTGCTTTTGCTGTAGTTTTTAGGGGTTCAATACAGAAATACTCCTAGTGTTTCTGTTTTTATTTACATTTACTTCTAGTTATTTTCTCAGATGATTAAAATTATTAAGGAAAGTTGTCAAGAGAGACAGTGTCCCTGCCCTATTTACTTACCTTGCTCACTTGATTAGTTACTTTCTTGGCAAATTCTATATCTGGAGGGTCGGGCAGAGGTGTAAACTGAGACTGCTGTTCAGCAAGACCTTTTTTGTAGGCAATCTGACAAAATAAGACAGAGATGCTCATGAACCATAGAAAATGATTCAATTTCTCATGTTCCATTTGTTGGCATTTTATGAAAAAACTATGCTTTCATCTTTATTGATAATATCTATTTCTCGAGTCTTCCCTTTACTCTAGGAGAGTTTCCTTGAAATCTAAGAATCTGGTGTCTAGATTTTTTTTTACTAATTTTCACACCACAATATACGATTCCATTATTCTCTTCATTGGCATCCTCATAACAAACCTCCAACTTGAGATCAACTCAATCACATACTTTCTCTGTTCTTATACTCTAAGTGCTGACTGCCACCGAAGAAATTCATACCATTCTATGGATTGGGCAATAATAACGTGGCAAGTAGAATTAACAGGGACATGGGAAAAGGTACAGGAGAGGAAGTCTCTGAACCTAAGCCCTTAGCTTAAAACCCATATGCCTACCTATTGGCATGCTCTGGGTGCAAGAGCTTGCTTCAGACTCTGTGACCAATTGTCTATGACCTGATGACAGCCAAATGCCACTTTGCCTCCAACTGTGTGTCTCCAGTCATTCCTACACTCAGTGGCTAGTCTGAAACTCCAACTCTGTTCTTAAGTACACAGTTAGCTCCATCTTACTCTCACCTTCTTCCTTTGCAGAGTACAGAAATGCTATACACATAGCTTTCTCCATACTCATTCCTGCCTTTTCCACACCCTGCCCTGACTTAGAGGAGAAGCATTTCTCATAGGTCATGACCCCACATCCAGGGTACCACACCCTTTGTACCCAGCTCTATCAGTTATTCTTCCTCTTTCTCACGGCTCCAATCTCTCCCTCTTCATTACCCCCTTTCCTTAAGCCTATACAGGGCCTCTCTCACCTTAAAACAAATATGAGGCCCATGAATCCCGCGTTCCTATCATGTCTGCTCGTTTTCTTTCTTACTGACTCCTCTGGTTTTCTCTCCCATCAATCTTGAATCTACCTCCCACAATGCAGAACTAGTCATAGATCCCCAGACACGTGATGCTCTCGAATGCCTCAGAGCCTCATACATGCTGTTCCTCTCCCTGGAATGTCCCAAATGTATCCTTTCCTACCTGTCTGTAAACCTGATTGCTCCCCCACATTTTGAGACAGGCCTAATTTCCCCTCCTGAGCCCTCCCTTACCCCCAAAGCAGATGCAATAACCTTCTCCTGGGACATGGCACTTACTGCCTTTAAAGGAGTTCTCAAATGACACCATAACTGGTTGCTTACATGTCTGAGCAGTGGGATGGCAGAGGACATGTCCTCCTCTCATGAGGAATCTTTGTGGCTTGTATGGTACCTGATCTGAGTAAGGGTTCGATGACTGATCTTTGGATGTGTGTCTTATACACTGAGGCCATGAGGGGAATATGAAGAGGAAAATTATCCTCCTGACTTTCCACTACGTAAGTGTGAGACTTCTGCAGATTATGTTCCCTTCCATAGCAGTATTCTTATTTATAATGTAAGGAAATGGGATCATTTCAAGGTCCCAATCATATTTATGCTTTAACCAAGTCTAACTGTATCTTATTAATACTTACTTAGTACCTATAACAAAAGCTTTTATAAACATTAAATCAATTGGGATCCAAAAGATGAGTTAAAACTAAAAGTTCAGTTTTTTAAAAATAAGTGAAGACTTTATTTTAGGCACAGGATAACCAAGATTTTTCATGGCTAGCTAAGTCCTTAGGGAGAAAGATACATTTAAACAGGAGAAATGCTTATTAAGTATGACATCCTGTCAAGAAGTTTCAGAGAAATCAGCTCTAGAAGTCCTAATTTCTCAGGAACCTTGTTCAAAATTATGTCTAAGTTAGAATTCTGTATTCTGGATCTTAAAGACTCTTCATATTTGCCGAGTATTTTATCTCTCGTTAGATAATAAGGACAACATCACAAGGGCACAGGAAGAAGGTACAGGAGTGGGAGAGAGAGCTTTTAAACCTAAACCTTTAATTCAAAATCTGCATGCCTACCCACTGGTATGTTCTGTGAACAACAGCTTGCTAAGCTATCTGTGCCCAGTAATTGTAGAAGTTCATAGTGCTGACAGCAGTATTACTAGGCATGTGGGTAATCTGATACTTAGTGCATACTTGGTCTGCAATAAAAATAAAAGCTATACCATAACTGCCAAATCTGAGAGAGGGTAGAGAGGATTTTATTTCATTGTGGTATATTCTCTTCTCTTAGAATAACAGAAAAAATGTGGCCAACCTTAATTATTCAAAGTTCATAGCACTAGAATGGCACAGAGGTAACCCTCCATCTCTCTGTTTTATAAATAAAGGGAGACATTAGTAGATTAAGTGTCTTCTTGGACATCTCTCCCTAGGCTTACATGACATGGCATTTCCTGGGTCCCCTTCAACTTCTGTTTGTTCCCTCATCCTTTTGCTGGTTCCTTTCCAGATGTCCTGTGTGGGTGTCCTCCAAAACTTTGTCCTTGGCCATACTCTATTCTGCCTCCCTCATACATTTTCATATCTTCATCTATCTTTTTCATTCTGAGGATCTCAAATATTTCGTTTTTGTCCTGATCTCACACTTACACATTTGCTTCTCTGGTACTAAATTTCTAATTCATCCATAGGAGGCCTTAATACGAATGTCCCCTCTATTACCTTAGCTCTAATGCTCCCCGCCGCTTCATAAGAGAAAGGGAGAGATAGAAGAGAGGGGAGAAAAACAGAGATAGGTATTTCCAACAGGGTTGTGCCATGTTGCCATCCTCCTACCCCAGTCGCCCAGTCAGCTAGGATTACAGGTGTATCCAACTATGCCCAACATGTTTGGGTTGGCCAGCAATCAAACCCAGGCCTCCCATGTGGCTTCTGGCCTCCCAAAAGGCTATGTAGGCATGAGTGAGGCTGGGAGAGCTTATTAATGTACCTTTGCCAGTTATACCCTTATTACCCAGACTACCAGTCATGAACTCAACCATGACTCCTTTCTCTCCTTTGTCTCCAATAACTAACTGGATTAATACTTAGTAATACTCATTACCTTCAGATCCCTTTCCACCTCTTCTTTGCCCCCCAATATCTCATCCAATTGACCACCTACTCATATCACTAAGATAAACTTGTACAAATGATCATTTCCAGTTTTTCCTAGTCCCAGTCTATCATACTGCCCAGCGCCATTCTCCAGACCCTACATTTATCATTGATTCCTCTCCAGAATCTTATAATGGTCTCTTATTGTCTACTATATCACTTCAAGCCACATTGTGGTTTTCAAGGTCCTGCTGCCAGCATTCTCACAAGCACATTCCACACTAGACACCCACGTGATTCACTTTCTTTGTCCTCTATAACTCCAGACTCACTCCTGTCTTTTCGTTTGAGTTCTCCCTCAACTTTTAATGCTTTGTTCTTCATCACTTTCCACCCCCTCACACAATCATCACCTCCACAAGGTCCTCTCCAATCACCCATGGGTGTCCTTTCTCCTAATGAGTATTGACTGTTATATTGTGTATTGTCTTTAAGTTTTTTCTTGTTATTTTATATGTAACACTTTAATCTTAACAGTCTGATTAAAAATTCTCAGTAGAAGGGATAAAAACTTGTAGTATTTTTTTTCTATACTGTCAGGTATGCATACACAAAGGATTTTCAATAAATAACTATTGATCACTTAATAAAGGCCACACAATAATATATGAATCCATGAGATATGGAACCCAAAAGCCAATCTTGAAAATTAAAGTGGAAGTACTCACACACTAAAATTGGTACCACATACTAGATGACTTCAACATTTTGTTATACCTTATTTCTTAACTTATACAGTGGGTAGGGACGAGCTTATCTGTGCTATACTTTAGCCAATTACATGGAAATAGAATAGAAAATATGTCCACTACATGAACAAGGAATATCAAATGAGAGGCAATAAAAATCAGACCTCAAAAGTTGGAGGCACCATCAAACAAGTATGTGCAATTTCACTTCATGGCAAGATGAACCCCTTGGATCCAATAGAAGTAAACCTGTTAAGTCTCAATTGCTCTATTAAGTCTGTGTTGAGTATAAGAGATTCCAGAGGTCTAGCTGACAACTAAATGTCAGGTAACTTGTCATTTTGTAATATAGTCCTCTGCCAAAGAGTAGAGCAGTGGTCTTTGTATGTTTAATATGGTCTTCCACAAATTCAAGGGTCATGAAATAAAACACTTCAAAACAAGGGGAATCGCTAGTCCCAAGTAGGACTCTGATTTTTTGCTAACTCTGGAAGACCCTCTATGTATACCAATGGCAAGATCTGCTTATGGAATAACCATACAGACATGTTTTAACAAGTACACTGCTCAAGTGCCCCATGAAGACATGCCACAGTTTGGATATGATGATTATGATAGCAAAAACAAAACAAAAACAAAAAACAAAACACCTTAGGAAACATTGTTTACTTAATAGATTTAGGAAACCAGCTGTGTTTCCAATAGGTTTCTGAAAAATGCCACGCTAGTGTCACAAAACTACTTCGATCAGAGCCAAGGGGGGTGAAAAGGACACACGATCTAGTGGGAAGAACATTGGTCTTGGGGTTACAAATCTGGGGTCTGCCACTAACAATTTTTGAGACCTTAGACTTAGGTTCATCACCTGTAAGAAAGGACAGAACTAATTATGTCTAGCATAGTTTATATTATATCTAATTTAAATTAGACATTACAAATCATAATGATTCTAGTTGTACACAATGAACATCTGGTCAGATGGAATTCAAATTTTCCTGAATTCACACTCCCAAATGATGCCAATTGTACTTCACTTACGTCACTGAGAGCTTTCTGAGCTTGGGCAACCCTTCTCAGTTCCGGGCTATCATTATATGGGTAAAACAAGCTTTTGTCTGCCTCCCAGTCTTCAGTGTACAGTTTCTAAATCAGAAAACAGTAAAGAGTTAGGATAAAGTGAAATCGCACTTACGTGAAATCCATCAGTTTAAATTTCCCCATCAATCACATAAAAAAGGAAAGGCAAGTTGAGAGGAAAGGTAATGAAATTCACAGATAACCCCACTTCCCATCTAATCCAAGTTATTTTTATTAACAGCTTGTCCTGCTTACCCTGACAAATTTCATTTCCAGAGGGACATAGGTGTCTGATTTTATTTCATCTCCTCCCTGTGACTTTACCTGACACTTGCAGTAAGTACTAACACAACATAAGGCGCCAGGAAGCACTTCACTTAATTTCTTTACCAAATAAAACTCTAGTAATAGTGATAGCTGGGGCTAGCAGGTGGAATGGTGGTTAAGGCACTGGACTCCCACATAGTCAACCACAGTTTGAGTCCCAGACCTGGCGTCCTGAAAATTATGCTGTGTGCAGGCATACCCAAAGTCCTGAGAGGAGAAGGGATTGTAGAGTGGCCATCCTCCCTGGGGAATGACTTCTCACTTTCCCTCTCTCTCTCTCTTTGTCTGGTGAGTACACGCACCCTATGGCAAAAGACCATAAAACCCCCCAAATAAAAGCAGAGTAACAGCTAGGAATATCCATAGTGTGGCATAGGATATAGAGAAAAAATTTAAAAGAATACTTGTGGCTCTCAGCTGGTTCTCCAATGTGTCTTCATTATGCTTATTCACTCCCCTGCCTCTCCCAGGCTGGTCAGGTTCCCAGAGAAATCTCTGTGCCACCTGCTCATGAGCATCCCTATTATTTCCTCCTCACCCTTATGTCCCACATGTTTCAAGGTTAACCCACTAAAGAGTTGGGGAACTGTACACTGGATGAGGGACAGTGTACCACGTATTACTCTGAAGCATAGGGTGGGACAACATAGAAAGAAAGAGGAAGCTACAGAGAGAGGCCCTTACCTTACTGAACATGGCTGTATTTTTAACGGCCTGTACAAGTTCAGGGGCATCAGGGGGAAGCAGGTACTTATCCTTGGTGTCTTCCCAGTTCTGCTTGTATAAAACCTAGAACGAAAGAACAGAGGACCTATGGTTTGAAGTCTCACCCAAAAGCATGAGGATTTCAAAAAGAAAGGGGCAATCATGAAAATGTCCTCATATAAAAGCTGTCCATGTGTCACTAGGAAAACTTGGACTACGTCAACATATTATAACACATTCTGAGTTGTAAACTTCTCCTCGAAAAGCCTAACTTTTGAAATAAATCATAATCTTGATTCTGTATAAATTAGTTTCAATGTTTGCAACTTATCAGTCATTGACTCGTTTTTGGCTGACACACATGTTTCTTTTGCACTGTGTGAACTTTTAAAAATATTGTTTAATTAGTGGCCTACACTTGAAACTTGGAAATTTCTCCAAAAAGCTCAGCTTCCCAATTTAAAAAAACAAACAAACAAACAAACAAACAAAAAAACAAAGAAAAGAGGGACCAGCAGTTAGCATAATGGTCGTGTCGCTGTACTCCTATGTAGTCGACCGTGGTTCGAGTCCCGGACCTAGTGGCTTAAACTCACGCCGGACGTGTTTGCATGCGTGTCCAAGATCCCAAGAGGAGAATGGAGGAGAAGGGATTGCAGCGTGGCCATCCCCCCGGGGGGTGATTTCTTGCTTTCTGTCTCTATGTCTCACTCTGTCTTTCTGGCGAGCGCACGCGCCCTATAGCAAAAACCTCTCAAAAAAAGCAAAAAAAACAAAAAAACAAAAAAACAAAAACAAAAACAAAAACAAAAACAAAACAAAGAAAAGACTCTGTGACACTGGGTCTGCACTCTGCGCTGTAACTGCCTACAGTGAAGTTGCTGCTTCCTCTCTAAGTAGACACGGGCTCTTCAGTCCACTCAAAGTTCATATGTGTTTACTATGGTCAACTGTGCAGCCTCCAAGATGCATATGGGTACTGAATTCACACAGCCTGTGATTAGCCTGTCCAGTTTTCTCCTTTAATACAAAGTAGAATGACATGCATGACATTTAGTATCACAACCATCTATGCCACGGCCTCACCTTGCTGACTTGCTGCGAGACTTTCTTTGCATGTTCAATATCCTTGGCTTTTTCGTCAACGTGACAGATAGTTTTAGCAACATCGCCATCCATTCGATACTTAACCTGCAAAAATAATGCATATCTGGAATTCATGATGGCATTAACATATGGGTATATTAGAGAATATCTTATAACCAAAGAGCATTATCCTAGGGACTATATCTGCATCAGAAAGCAAAGTGTCTGCATTTTACCTAGACAGCTGGGATCTTCAAAGACCCATAGAACACACTCATATTTACTGCTGGTCTGCTTTCCTGGTGGACTTTCTAGATTGCTGGTTTCTTGGCTTCACTCTGCTCCAATGTGGAGAACTAAAGTGAGTTAGCACTTCCTTCCATTTTGTAGTCTCCTCTTAATTACTAAGCCTAGCTACTAGAAGTTTCTTTGAGTTCACAATGAGCAACATAATCTATGGCTAAAGCTTTCTCTAGATTTATAGACTAACTTGTAGTAATTTGACTCCATATTTTCTCTACATATATTTAGAGCTCTCATCCTTTTTGGCAGGCATAGTTTGGAAAAGTCTCTCTCCTTTATTTTAGCAATGCAACCCACCTCACTCAGCTGATCCTGTACTTTCTTGATCCTGCGAAGTTCTGGGGTATCGGTTGTACTGGCATATGGCTGTCCTTTTGCTTTCTCATAGTTTTCTTTGTACTTATTCTGAAAAAGATACCAGATATTAGCCTAAAATTTGACAAGACTGCCGCAGAAACTTCAAGCAATGCATTTATCTCCATCTGATTTTTTAAAATCCTCCAAGTTATAAAAATTATCAGTCATAACACTCTTATTTTTGTCCCCTACCCAGACTCTCAGCAAAAACTAAAATAGATTTGCTAATTGCTTTTCCTAAAAATGACTAGATCCTAGAGACGGTAAAAATTTATCAGACTATTTTCTTAGAAATGTCCTAAGATTTCTCAATTTTTATTATCATCAAATTTTTTTAGTCTGAATGCACATATAAAAAGCCTGAGCCTCAATTACTTTGGAAAATAAATATAGTAATTGAGTTAATTCTGAAAAGATTGTGTTGCTAATACAGTGCAAAAACATTCCCTCCAGAAGCTATAGCTAAACCTCAGTGGATTGAACTGGGAGGCACCAGCTGAATTAATAAGTTTTAATCATGAAGTATTTGTACAAGAATGCAATTTTATTATTTCTTCTAAACACACAATGAATTCTTGCTTTAGTAGCAATGTGCATAGTTTATTATTAATGCTTCAAGGATATTCTCGGGTAGAATAGTCAACAATCTAAATGATGCCATTGATTTAGTTACTAACTACATAAAAAATATTCTAGACCTTTGCCAACATTCTGTTCAGAATATCAGAAATTCTGGGCTTATAGGGTATGATTAATGAGATTTTTATGGGAACAAATTAAAAATATGTTTTTCTATTTTTGCTGGGTACTGCACTGATAGAGGAGGGAGGAAAGTCTTATTATTAGATCATTCAAGGATGAACTAGAAATTTATTAAATAATCTCCAAGAGTTCATTAACTAAAAGTTAATATTTACTGGTCAACCATGATAGGATACTTTTGACATAAACTTTACTCTGAAAAACAAACAAACAAACAAAACAATATTCCTCTGAGCTACACCTCACTTTTTCAAGTCTCCAGGGTACTACAATCAGAATCTAGAGAGACCTCGGCCCACTATGGGCAATCAGCAAATTAGATCCATTGAATGAGTATAAATCTGCTGTCAGTCAGTGCAACTTAAAGAACACTAAGTGAGAATTCAAGGACCAGTTCCATTGCAAACAGTGATTCTCTACCTGGGCTGTACCTGAGAATCTTCTGGACAGCTTTAAAAAATATCCTCTGCATTGGCCCCAAGCTTGAACCAATTAAGCTAGAATGGCTTGAGCATTCATAGTTTGAAAGTTTCAGGGGATGCCAATACGCCATCAAGGTAAAAACCAACAATCAACTACTGTTCTCGGTAGAGCTGAACATTCCGACCCTCAATTTCAAATAAGTACTCGGTGGCCCTTGATTTTCTAAACTCCATGTTCTTCACTAGAAACTTCTTAGAGAGTTTTTTATGGCTGTTAGCTTGTCTACTAACGAGGCCATTCTGCTCAGACCTAGTTTATGTTATTTAGCATCCAGGAACTGACTTCAGTTCAATCTGTATTTATCATTTTATTATTCTAGATTGGCCAACTAACAGGGATTAAATATCAATAAATCCTTCATAAAACAAATCCTGGCCATGTATGTTTTGCAGGAATCATTTCAGTCAGGATGCTTCCCCTAATAATGCAATGGTGACAATGAATTACATAAAAGAAACATTTAAGAGTCACATGCACACATGAAAAGAGCTGATATTTCTACAAAGTGTTTGTCTCATATACAGTCAAGAAACAAAATCCAGTCAGCAGCCTAAACACAGGTGACTGAGATCAGCCATTTCTCATTAATAAAAAGCAGATTAGCAGAGTTGTTTGAAACTTACTGGGCTAAAAAGATTCTGCATTTTCTGACTGTGTGCAATGTAGGGGGTCATGAACTTTGAAGAGTCCACTTTTTTCCGGATGACCTTCTTCCTCTCCACTGGCTTTCCCGGTTCCGGCTGTGCCAGTGCTGGTTTGGAAGGTTCTGATTGCTCATAGTCAGATATTGTCCTTGTCGTCGTAGTTTCATAGACTTCAGTTATTGTCTGAAAATTGGACATGCACTTCAACATTGTTTTAAGTAAACACTGTGTTACTGTGACTTTAATACATATTATTCTAACTCTAAGTCAGATTTACATTTCTGGTGTTACTTCTCCTTATCTAAAGCAGGTCAAAGCAGGAAACCATGCACTGAAACCCCAAGAAGACATGTTATGTCACATAAATCTGACTGCCAATTGTTAAAGCTCACATAGAATACAAAGGCTACTCCTTATTAACTTGCAACATTACCTTAAAATTGCATTCACAGAAAAAAATACTCAAGCCCTTCTAAGTAGTGTAAAAATGAGAAATAAAATTTCCTAAACATTTGAAAATCTTGAGTAAAGTAAAAGCAAACTCAAGACTGGGTATAAAAGTTAAGACAATCAAATCTCAAATTCTTTGCTTTATTATTAATTTTGAAATGACTAAGAAGAAAATCAGCTGCTTGATCTGCAAGTATTTAAGCATTCTCCATTATAGTATTAGACAAAGAATAATGAACTTTTTAAAAATGAATCACATCAATATTATAACTAATCACCATTCTCCTGGCTTAGTCAGTTAATTAATGTGAAATGGAGTGCCATTTACACTAGTAAATGCCTAGGTGGACAAGAATAATGATGACAACATAATGGAGTAATTATCTTCACAACAGTCCTATCTGTGTCGTAGGTGGGAAATGACTGTTTCTTACAACAGGCTATAGTGGAAGAAATGAAGACTTGAAGTTTGAGTCTAGTCCAAGGTTAAAAATGTATGTAATAAAAGAAGACAACCAGGCAAGTCTTCAATCCATCTCACAGAATCATGTCCTTCACAGCTAATCTCATCTGTACCAAAGGAAGAGTTCTAGTATCAATGATGAAAAGAGAAACCTAATAAGGAAATTGTGTATCTAGGAAAACTCCCCCCTGGGGTTGTCAGAGAACTGCCAATAAGTTGCTTTCTGGCCGTTATTACAAATGCATGGTTGACCATGAGAAGCAAATCAATTTACACCATCTATAGATGTTAATTTTCATGCAGTCACAGGTTTTCTGAGCATGTTACAGGGTTAACCATGTCTATCACTGTTTATCATGCTCAAGGAGAAATAGCTCCTTGCAGAAAAGGAAGGATAAAAGAAGTATTTCACTTTGGGCAAAAATATTCTAACTTGGAATATTTATGGGAGAGGCTTTCTCCGATTCCTGATATGCTTAAATCTGAGCATCTTCCCATCATCAGGAACAAGCAGAGATAGTACCTTACAAATTTCAAGTCTATACAGTGAAACTGCTGGTCTCTATGTCAATCCCAGGGCCAGGCCACCTCTCTTGCTGCAGTCAGACGGGGACTCTGACATTATTCTAATTAGCATCATCTACACAAAAAATACCACGTGAACATCCAGGAAGCTGCCCCCTGCCATTTTGGATATGTTGAATACCAAAACCAGAAATAATATGTCAAATTGGTAACGTTTGTTCTTTTACCCCCAACTTCTGGGTACAGATCGGTGAGTGGTCCTTTCTCAGAGAATCCCTTTTGCCATTTTCGTGCCCCTGGGTGTGTGAGAGAGGAGAGGCTCTTCCTGCTTTAATGAGTGCAGTTATTTCAGGTCTGGGTTGGGTCTTACCTCTCCCGGCACCTCTTCATAAATCGTCTCTTCTGTGTAGTACTGTAAATAGAGCACAGATACGTCGGCACGAGAACCAAAGCAGAGATCATTTCTTCTCCGCCTCAGCTGAGCCACTTAGGTAACTCTCTAGCTCAGCTGGTTTGGAATATCTGTGAGAGGGATGTGGGGAGCCTGTTCATATTCTGTCACCATTTTCACCTAGTTAACTTCAGGAAAGCTAATGCATATGCCACCAGACTGCATGAAGAGACGCAGAGTGATGACACAAGTGTCTGGGGCTGGTTTCTAACTAAGGGAAGCTGTTCTAGGACAAGTAAATATTTTTCTTATGCTACCCAAGATAGAATTTGCTAGAAGATACTATGATGATATCTTGAGTGTGTGGGTTGGGCAAGGGAACTGTGATGAAATTTAGGGTGCTAACAAACAAGAAAACAAAAAAGCAACCCCCGTGTGAATAAAAATTGTAAATGGATTCTATTATGGAAACAGTAAGATCCAAAAGCAGTGGCATTACTTAGTAAGAGAGCTGTTTCTGCAGCAGTGGTTGAGTGTCATTCAATAGCATGATGGTAGTAAAAGGGGGACAAAGAGGACACTGTGTAAATACCAAGGGAAGAAGGAAAAAATGAAGCGATTCCTCCTCATAAAATACGGGTGTTAGGCTGCAATTGGCCACTGAGAGTTCTGAGGCACGAGCATCCTGGATCTGAATCTGAGTCTACTTTTGTTCTACTTCTGACATCACCAGCAATAAATAGATGCAGAGACACGGGCTGACATTTTGTTTCAGATTCATCAGAAGAGTGGAATCCTTCCCCTAGCTTCGCCCAGCTCTGCAGGGGGAGTGGAAGGAAAGGCTCCTTGAGGCCAAGTGTACAAGGAAAGGAGTGAAATGAAACCGTGGGCTCATTTCCTCAGTCAACACAATGTGTAAATCTTAAGCTTCGTTTTTCTTCTGACACCAAACTACCTCCCTAAGGGAAGGAGAAAACACTGAGATGCACAACTTGCCTCAGTGGCCTCCTTTCTTCTACCCTTGGCTCAGCGACCTCGTAAATGATCTACCCATTGATAGCAGGTTACCTGTTCTGCCTTGTCCGCAGTAACGGTCGGGTAAAACCTGCCCCGTGTTACACTGTGCTTCCTTTGCTCTTGTGCTATTTGTTAAATTCCCACTCTAATTCTGTCCGGATGTCCTTACGCACACCCCTCCACAGGCTCTTACAGGGCAGATAATCGCTCTTTCACGCCTGTGACTTCAGCCCATGAGAAGCAGCATTTGGACACTTCCAAAAATACTGGATGTTGACGCTGCAAGGAGCGATTTCTCTGGATACACAAAATATCAGTGACTTGAAAGAGATTTTAAACTAAAATGAATGATTCATAAATATTTTGGATTTTTCTTAGCATCACAGTAAAAGCAGCTCTCTGAAAGTCATCCAATTTTACCTTTGCTGGGCTCTCATCATTGGTAAATATATCTCAGAAATAGCCTTACAAAAAAGGCAATTTTATCCAAATGGTTGGCATTAATTTGTATGCCAAATCTCACTTTTTTTTCAGAGCTGCTCCACTCATTAGATAGTACATTCTTGCTTCTTTCTCCTCCTTTCCAAGTTTGAGTGACAGTAAAATTTTATTTCAATGTCCAAGATTAATAAGAGACATTTTAAGAGCTAGTTCCTCTCTGTTTTCTGAACATTTTCCTGACCATTTTCTGAAATCCACCACCATTCCAGTCTCATTATCTTTTTTGAGGTCAATAAGACCTCTCTTCAACACTCTAGCAGCCCGTCTATTAGTTTAGCACCTGCTGGTCAGTCCCAGAAGCACTAATGAGAACAAAATAGCAAGGATGGGGTGTCTAAAAAGAGCCCCTTCCATTTTATGACATCTAGGTAAGCCAATCGAGTCTAGTACCCTGGAGAATTTCCAGTGACATATGTACACAATGTGTGTGTGTGTGTGTGTGTGTGTGTGTGTGTGTGTGTGTGTTTGCCATGGGCGTATATTCTCACTGGAAAGACGTAGAGGTAGAGAAAGGGAAAGTGAAGAAATCATCCCCCAGGGGGACAGCCATGCTGCAATCCTTTCTATTCCATTCTCCTCTGGCATTTTGGGCACACATGCATCCAGAGTGATTTGTAAGCTATCGGGTCCCAGCTCAAACATAGTCGGCCATGTGGGATTCCAGTGCCTTAACCACCATGCCACCTGCTGGCCCCCACACATTTTTTTAAAACTCTTTTTATAAAGAATAATTATTTTGTTTATTTATTTACTTTAATTTGACCAGAGAGGAACAGAGTGAGAGAGAGAAGGAAAGTGAAAAAGCAAGTGTCCAGGTCTGGGATTCAAACCTCAGTCCACCATGTGGGAGTTCAGTGCCCTTAACCACCATGCCACGTGCCAGCTCCCACAATTATTTTTTAAAACATGAAGGAGGGGAGCAACAGTTGGCGTAGTGGTTCGGACACTGGAGTCCCACATGACTGACCACAGTTCGAGACCCACACTGGCAGCTTGAAAATCACACATGGCATATATGCATGCATGCCCAGAATCCCAAGAGGAGAATGGAGGAAAAGGGATTGCAGCATAGTCGTCCCCACTGGAAGATGATTTTTCACATTCCCTCTTTCTGTCTCTGTCTTTGACTCTCTGGTAAGTGCATGCTCCCTATGGAAAAAAAAAAAAGAAAGAAAACAAAACAAACAAACAAAAACAAGATGAAAGATATTTTAACTGAGGTTGAAAAGTGTTTCTGATATCATTAAAGGAAAGATAGTTTGTTTCATAATTTTGTTAGTGTTTGATGTTGACTATTCTGATCCTAAACCCATCAGTAAATACACCCTAGTGATAATTGAACATGGTGAATGTGGCCATTGGCATTAAAGCCAGTGATAATGATTATTATATTGAGATTTGAATATAATAGTTTGAATTAAATAAGTTGAATATCATATGAGAGTTACTCTGTTTTTGTTTTTTGGTGGCTTTTATCTTTCAATAATAAACACATTTTATTCTTCAAATTAAATAAATATTTTCTTCATCTAAATATAGATTGGTTACCAAAATAATCTTTCAAAAACAAATTTTGGCAATTTCAGCATTTTTAGGAATTTGGCTCTGGGTAGCTCTTACAGATAATTTCAGTCTTACTAAAAAGGGTAAATTTTTCAAAACTGTCTCTAACTGCCTTAACCATTTGCAGATATTCATATGTTCAGATCATAATAATTGATTGGTAATTATTAAGCACTTTTTAGATTTTGTATGAAGGGGAGTTCCAAATCTTTAGATTTTATAATATGAAGCTAAAGGCAAGAGCTGGTGATAAAAACCTATAACATGATTTAAAAAATGATCTAAACTAAATATAAAAAATTAATGACTTTATGAGTGTGTTATATATCTACCAATAATCTTGAGTAACATTTTCAAGATACCTAATATGGGGACCAGCAGATGGCAGAATGATTGCATTGCTGGTTTCCATGTAGCAGAGAGCAGTTCAAGTCCCAGACCCAGTGGTTTTAAACTCACGCTAGGCACATATATATGCATGCCCTAAATCTCGAGAAGAAAATGGAGGAGAAGGGATTGTGATGTTGCCATTTCCCTGGGGTGTGGTTTATTGCCTTCTATCTCTGTCTCCCCCTGTCTCTTTGGTGAATGCACATACCCCATAGTAAAAATCTCACTCTCAAAAAACAAAGATACCCAGCATCGTTTGTTTGTTTGATTTAAATTTGCTATAGGGCTCATGCATTCACTGGAGAGCAAGAGAGAAAATGAAGAAGCACCCTAGGACAGCCACAATCTCTTCTTCTCCTTTCTCATGGGGGGGGGATTTTGGAACACATGCATACACATCCATTGCATTTCTTAACCCACTGCATCTTAGCCATGTGGGATCCAGCTATCTCAACCACCTCACCACCAGCTAGCCCAATCTTTGTTCTTAATTGAACATTTCTTATTTCTTTCTTTCTTTTTTTTTTTGTTGGAGAGGTTTTTTGCTATAGGGCGCGTGCACTCACCAGACAGACAGAGAGAGACAGAGACAGAAAGCGAGAAATCACCCCCCAGGGGGGATGGCCATGCTGCAATCCTTTCTCCTCCATTCTCCTCTCTGGATCTTGGACATGCACGCACATGCACCCGGCATGAGTTTTAAGCCGCCGGGTCTGGGACACGAACTGCGGTCGACTGGGAGTCCAGTGACATAGCCATTACGCTAACTGCTGGTTCCCTTAATTGAACATTTCAAAGCAAACACTAGTCTTGTTCAGTTTGGTAAATGTAACAGAGTTGGTGGGAAAGTGTGGCTTCAACTGTTGCTTGTGACCTTCATGAGTTTATGTGTTTCTGTCTGTGCACATGCACACATATATGCATAAAATTTCATATGTATATGTATATATAAAGAGATAGATAGATATAGATATATGACTCCTTCGAATATTCAATCCATATTGCTCTATAGATAATCAGCTTCAACCAGCTGGTTCTTTCCTCTCTATTGTTTTGCAGACATTGAGAAACAGAGTTGAATTTTTGGAACTTTTTCTTTCCTCTGTCCCTTTGATCATTTAGAGTTGGAAGATGGGGAAGAAAGTCATTCTAGAAGACAAATTAAAACCTGCCTTTACCCCACACTTCAATTTTTTTTGGCGAGTTTAAAGAAAAGCACACGTGGGAAACAGTGATGTTTCTTTTTGATTCTAAATCCCACATAATTATAGTGAAACTGAACGTAAAATATTCCTCTCTTAGGTTTTAATGATGACTCTTTGTGCAGTTATAATAGACAATGTATTTTTCAAATGATTAATTCACCTACATGAGCTGATTGTCACTACATAAAATACTTTGCTGTCATAGTTCGGGTTTTTTTGTGTGTTTTGTGTGTGTGTGTGTGTGTGTGTGTGTGTGTGCTTTTTTTTTTTTTAATCTTACCTCCACCACCTCCTCATATTCTTCGTCATCTGCCATTTTCCCGGAGTAGTAGTGGCACCTACAAACTTTCCATATTCCATACAAATGAAAACACATTAGAATCTATTCCCCAGACAGAAATGACAACTTATAAAATAGAATCTAAAACTAATCTGTTCTACATATTCTTACATCTTTGCAGGCTAAGGGAGAGTACACCTTTTACATACAGGTCTAAACAACGGAAGCCTCCCATTTCTTCCTCTTTAATTCCCTCAGAAACATGTCCAATATTACTACTTCTACATGCTTTAGTTAAAGTTCTAAGAGGAAACATATAAAAAGGAAGAAATTTGGACCCAAGTAACAAAGAGCTTTAATTTGCAACCCCTTGGAAAATAAACATTATCAAGCAAAAATTTTAAGTGAAAACAATGTCAGGTTGGCTTTTAGAAGAGGCTAGAATTTTTCCCCATAGCACCAAAATTCTAAAAAGGTGGACTTGGGGGACCAGCAGTTAGCGTAATGGCTATGTTGCTGGACTCCCATGTAGTCGACCGTAGTTCAAGCCCCAGACCCGGTGGCTTAAACTCACGCCAGGTGTGTGTGCATGTGTGCCCAGGATCCCAAGAAGAGAAAGGAGGAGAAAGGATTGCGGTATGGCCATCCGCACTGGGGGGATGATTTCTTGCCTTCTGTCTCTCTGTCTTTCTGGCAAATGCATGTGCCCCATGGCAAAAACCCTCTCCCAAAAAAAAAAAAAAAAAATGGTGGTTTTTTTATACTTGGTTTTCTATACTGCTCTAAAACACTGCACACAGTCTGTCTTAGGATTCAAATTAGAGCACATAAAACAAAATTCATTGATAGATTTTAAAAGAAAAAATGAAACCTCAAGGCAATGGGGTTATTTCTTCCCGAACACCATTGGCTTCTAAGGATATTTCCTTTTGTTCCTGTAGCTCTCGTTCAAACCTGAAAAAACGTTTTAAAGCGTGGGTTGAAGTACATATAAGACAGTAGGTTTTCAGCCTAAGCTTCTAATTCAGGAACTAGGGAAAGGCTCTCAAGCCCTTTTCAGTTTGATGCCAGAGAGTAGGACTCTTGATACAAGTGGATGATGACTCGGAGCAGCTGTCCCTTATCCCAAAGACGTTTGCTGTGTAAACCAACACCGTGCAGGGACTGGTTTTGTTAAGCTAGCGAAACTGCCACTCCTTCTGAGGCAAAAGAAGCCTAGTAGAACAGATAAATATAGGAATGCAAAACATAGATCCATTTTTATACTCATATGTAGGGGGAAAAATCCAAGGCATAAAAGTGGGAAAAAAAATTGTTAGACAAGAGATTCAACTCAGTCAGGCGATAGACTGGCTAGTATAAAACTTGACTCTAACCATACACTGCACCCCTTAGAGATTAGTAGGGCCTTTGCAGGGCAATGGGGTTACTCACAGACTTTCCTACACACATTTTCATCACTAATTTCCCCAGTTATGACCCCAAACTTTGCAAAATACTTCAAGGGAAGTTGTGGAATACCTCCTGAAAGAACATTACACAAAAAGCCACAAACTGGCCTTACCTTTAATCTATCAAATAAATTTTCTCAGCAGCAAAGCCTCTCCCAACTCTCCCCTCCTGAGAACCCCAGGCAAGAGCGGGTGTGGTGCCTGGGGTCCGAGTTATCATGTGGCAAGAACAGCCAATCAGATCTTGGGTTGCTCAAATTTCAGAAGCTAAATATACTGAGTGATCTTCTGAAACCACCTGTTCATCAATTCACTAAAGGATAAAGGGTAACAAATTGCTTGCTTAGAACTATTCAAATGCAATGGAATTTTACTAACTTTCAGCCTATGGGGTTTCAATTTAGATTTAATTTCTCAACTACTGTACCTCATTTAATGCCATATTCATGCAAAAGAATTTATAAGAATATATGCATGATTTTGAAAGGCTTTCCCCTTGCATAACTGCTTTCATGACATCATTTGTCCAGGCTTCACAGAGATAAACAAACTCCCCCTCTTAAAGCTAGAAGGTGAGCTACAGGTATGTTACTGGGGTTGATGTGAGAGAAATTGAAGAATCTGGTCTAGAAAACATCAAGTTGGCAAAAGTAATTTAAAATGAAATGAAAAAGGTAACAGTTGAAAATATTTGATAGTGACACTGCATAAGATATCCACTGGGTATAATTAGAGAACTTGGGTCCCATCATTTTTGCGTTACATGGAGTTTCTGTTTGGGAGCATGCCAAAACCATAATCATTATCTTCTTCCTCCCTAGGGAAGGCTAGCTGCTAGAATACAGAATCTCTTGTACGTATCTGGGTTATTGAATTCCTATCAACTCAGATGACGGCTGGCTCCTAAAAGCAAATTGGGAATGAAGGCAATTGCTGAACAATAGGAGCAGATAAAAGAAATCGGTAAATCACAAAGAGAAAAAAAATACTCTGTTAGGCAAGTCAGAGAATAAGGCATTTACTTTGAATAAATTTCTAATAATGTTCTTAAAACTTGCCTACTGTGTCTTCCCTTTGCATTCTTTGCTCCTAACTCTTTTTGTAAAATTGAAGACCCAATTCTGTCTGTATGTCCTTCACATAGCAACAGAAGCCACCAGCTTTTACAGGACTGAGAAATGCTCTTTTTCTGGGCTGCTTCTAGGTTGAGGCAAAATATCCTGCAGGTCGCCCACATCTTTGATAAGGATTCGAGACTAAACATATTGTAATAGTTTCTTTTGAGCTAAATGTCAGGAAGTCATGTCCTATTTCAAACATATGTATCTCTCGCCGTCCATGATTCATATGGTGGTAAATAAAATTTACATCATTTTATCATCTTAACTAATTATACCTGTTCATCCTGTATGCTGTCATAGGTCTTATGACCAAGGGATATTTGTGTTACATGAGATCATTCATGGTAGCGGTAAACTAGGAGAATCGTGACTTACTACTCATTACATGCTTTAAAAGTGTTGTGATTAGGTTGTCGGAAAAGCCATGGCATATATTTTTTTTCTATGCAAAATGCATCAAGACTTTTCCAACAACCTGATAAATTGAAAACCAATGCAGACTCATTAAAATAAAAGGTAAAAAATAAAATTAAGGGGAAAAAAAAATCGTAAACAGACCCATCATCTGCAGGGATCACTGCCTTTGAAGGCCTAATACCCAGTGGTCTGAAAACAACTGTTTCCCGTTTTGTCAGGTTTTCTGATCTCCAGTTATTTCAAGCAGAAGGATAAATTTGGTCTCAGTTATTCATACTAGGTGGACACTAATGGCCTGGTATCACTATTTAATTTCATTTTCTATTTGTCCCTTATATATATAAATAAAATCTTATTTTTTCTAAAAAACAAACACAAAAACAAAAAATAAACAAAACCATACAATATGGGGCCAGCAGATGGTATGGTGGTTGAGGAGCTGGACTTCCATATGACCAACTATAGTTCAAATCCTGGACCCAATGGCGTGTTTTCTCACTTTCTGTCTCTCTCACTCAATCTCTGGTCAAATTAAAATTAGATAAATAAATAAATGATAAATAAAACTGAACAGATTAGTCTTTTTAAAAAAAATACAATACAAAACTATATAAAGTAAAAAAATGCACAGACCATTTTAAAATTATTTGTTTATTTTATTTATTTATTTATTTATTATTACTATTATTGTTACTAAGTTTAGATGCTCAGGGGAAGAGAGAGAGAGAAAGTGAGAAAGCAAGCCACCAGGTCCAAGACTTGAACCACAGTCAGCCATGTAGGAGTCCAGCACCTTAAGCACCACACCATCTGCACAGACCTTAAAGGTAGTGAATGTTAAATTTCAGATATTTTCTATATAGATATTGACATAAATTTACATACTTAATGATATGTAATAGGATTCTTTTATGAAACTTTATATAGCTGTATCTTGCTCTAATTTCCACAAATAATTTAAAAAACGGATATGTATAATTTGTTTAATCATTATTACATTTATGGACAGTTAGTTTGTTTCAAATTTTTGCTACTACAAAATGAAACAAAACATCATAAGCACAGAGTAAACATCTCTGCATATTACTTATATAAAATATTTCTGAGGACAAGCAGTTGGCATAATGGCTACATCGTTGGACTCTTATGTAGTCAACCACAGTTCGAGTCCCATATATGGTGGCTTAAAACTCATGCTGGGGGACAAGCAGTTGGCATAATGGCAATGTTGCTTGACTCCCATGTAATCAACCACAGTTTGAGTCCTGGACCTGATGACTTAAACTCACAACAGGCACGTGTGCGTGTGTGCCCAAGATCCCGAGAGGATAATGGAGGAGAAGGTGTGGCCATCCACTCAAGGGGTGATTTCTCACTTTCTGTTGCTCTGTCTCTGTCTTTCTGGCAAGCGCACGCGCCCTAGAGCAAAAACCTCTAAAAGAAACCACAAAAAACTCAGAACCAGCAGTTAGCGTAATGGCTATGTCACTGGACTTCCACATAGTCGACCGCGGTTCGGGTCCCGGACCCGGTGGCTAAAAATCTCACGCTGGTCTCGTGTGTGTGTTTTTCTAAGATCCCCAGAGGAGAATGGAGGAGAAGGGATTGCAGCATGGCCCTCCCCCCCTGGAGGGTGATTGCTCGCTTTCTGTCTCTCTGTCTCTCTCTGTCTGGCTGGCGAGTGCACGCGCCCTATAGCAAAAACTTAAAAAAACAAAACAAAACAAAACTCATGCTGGGAGCATATGAGGGTGTGCCCAAAATCCCAAAAGAGGAATGAAGGAGATGGGATTGTGGCATGGCCATCCCCCCAGGGGGATTTCCCACCTTCTGTCTCTCTAGAGAGTGCACATGCCCTATAGCAAAAATCTCTCTAAATGTGTGTGTGTATTAAATTTCTAGAAGTGGAATTACTGAGGCAGAAGATATTTACTCACTGTGAAAATTTATAGATATTTTCAAATTGCCCTCCAAAAGAGTTGCACATTTCATCAAAAAAAGAATGAGAGTTCTTTGTGGACACAAATTTCATTACATTATGGACTAT